TGTAGGTGAGAGGGGTTCCTTAAATGTGGCTGAGTGATGTATTGTAGGTGAGAGGGTTTCCTTTAATGTGGCTGAGTGATGTGCTGTAGGTGAGGGGTTCCTTAAATGTGGCTGAGTGATGTACTGTAGGTGAGGGGTTCCTTAAATGTGGCTGAGTGATGTGCTGTAGGTGAGGGGTTCCTTAAATGTGGCTGAGTGATGTACTGTAGGTGAGGGGGGTTCCTTAAATGTGGCTGAGTGATGTCCTGTAGGTGAGGGGGGTTCCTTAAATGTGGCTGAGTGATGCGCTGTAGGTGAGGGGTTCCTTAAATGTGGCTGAGTGATGTCCTGTAGGTGACGGGGGTTCCTTAAATGTGGCTGAGTGATGTGCTGTAGGTGAGGGGTTCCTTAAATGTGGCTGAGTGATGTCCTGTAGGTGAGAGGGGTTCCTTAAATGTGGCTGAGTGATGTATTGTAGGTGAGGGGTTCCTTAAATGTGGCTGAGTGATGTACTGTAGGTGAGGGGGGTTCCTTAAATGTGGCTGAGTGATGTACTGTAGGTGAGGGGTTCCTTAAATGTGGCTGAGTCATGTGCTGTAGGTGAGGGGTTCCTTAAATGTGGCTGAGTGATGTGCTGTAGGTGAGGGGTTCCTTAAATGTGGCTGAGTGATGTACTGTAGGTGAGGGGTTCCTTAAATGTGGCTGAGTGATGTGCTGTAGGTGAGGGGTTCCTTAAATGTGGCTGAGTGATGTACTGTAGGTGAGGGGGGTTCCTTAAATGTGGCTGAGTGATGTCCTGTAGGTGAGGGGGGTTCCTTAAATGTGGCTGAGTGATGCGCTGTAGGTGAGGGGTTCCTTAAATGTGGCTGAGTGATGTCCTGTAGGTGAGGGGGGTTCCTTAAATGTGGCTGAGTGATGTGCTGTAGGTGAGGGGTTCCTTAAATGTGGCTGAGTGATGTCCTGTAGGTGAGAGGGGTTCCTTAAATGTGGCTGAGTGATGTATTGTAGGTGAGGGGGGTTCCTTAAATGTGGCTGAGTGATGTACTGTAGGTGAGGGGTTCCTTAAATGTGGCTGAGTGATGTACTGTAGGTGAGGGGTTCCTTAAATGTGGCTGAGTGATGTATTGTAGGTGAGGGGTTCCTTAAATGTGGCTGAGTGATGTATTGTAGGTGAGGGGTTCCTTACATGTGGCTGAGTGATGTACTGTAGGTGAGGGGTTCCTTAAATGTGGCTGAGTGATGTACTGTAGGTAAGGGGTTCCTTAAATGTGGCTGAGTGATGTACTGTAGGTGAGGGGTTCCTTAAATGTGGTTGTGTGATGTATTGTAGGTGAGGGGTTCCTTAAATGTGGTTGTGTGATGTATTGTAGGTGAGGGGTTCTCATGTACTTTATGCCTTTCCCATCTTTGGTCTTTTGTAAAAGGCTCTGTGACCTTTTGAAATGATTCCATACAAACAGATTTGGAATGGAGTTATCTTCACTTAAGCTGAACTAAACGAAAATGTTGTGTAGGGTTTCAAGTGTGCGGTCATCTGGGTTCATTTGCAGGGGTAAAGTACGCACTTTAAGTCCTCGGAAGGCTAAAAGTGGGTCTTATTTCTGCCAGACAGAATCTCCCTGAGGAGTCAACAACACTGTCATGATGAACACACTTATCCTCCAAAAAGAAGATTACCCTCCCCTCCCTACTTTTCCCTCTCCTCTCCTCCCCTCCCCTCCCTACTTTTCCCTCTCCTCTCCTCTCCTCCCCTCCCCTCCCTATTTCACCCCCTCCCCCGGTGTGTCTCGTACTGGACAAAAGCCAATATTGTTTTGTTGTGTGTGTCATGTCGGGAGTGGTTTACCGCCCGCGCTACCCAGCACACTCCCCCGGCGTGGCCGACTTGAAATCTCACAAATGCTAAACGCCCTGTCTCCATTATCAGTATGAAAAGACGTGCAGCGTCCCCTCCCCCCCAGCCATACTGAGATTATCACCTGCGTGCTTCATAGCCAGCTATCTTCCTTACCTATTTTAAACTGCCTGGGGAGAATTGTTCTAGGGTGGCTGGTTGGGGAAAGATATTTCAGATTGAAATCCGCCTTGGGGGGTTCTTAAAAAACAAGAAGGAATTACGTGCTTTAACTTCATGCTTGATAACTGATCGACTGGTACAGCTAGAGCTGGGATCAATGTCCTTGTTGTAACCATTGATTTTGTTAGTCAGTCTCACTCAGCTATCATATTAAAAACTGCAAAAAAATGTCTCTCCAAAAATAAAAAATATATAGCTTTTTTTTTCTCTCTCCGCCCAAAATGAGTAGAATTTTTTTAAAATTAAGGGCCACTTTTTTGAAGGCCCCCACACCATTCAAAGTTACCCATCCCTGAGCTAAAGGGAGACAGGCAGGCACAGAAAGTAAGACTGTACGTTGGAAGCTTGAAATGAATGATATTAGTGCTTTCGGAAAGTATTCAGACCCCTTGACTTTTTACTCATTTTGTTAAGTTACAGCCTTATTCTAAATCTGATTTAAAAAAAAAAAAAAAAAAGGTTTTACCTCATCAATCTACACACAATACCCCATAATGACAAACTGGTTTTAAGAAATGTTTGCTAATTTATAAATATATATATATATGAAATAATACATTTAGATAAGACTTCAGATCCTTTACTCAGTACTTTGCTGAAGCACCTTTGGCAGCGATTATATTCTTGAGTCTTCTTGGGTATGACGCTACAAGCTTGGCACACCTGTATTTGGGGAGTTTCTCCCATTCTTCTCTGCAGATCCTCTCAAGCTCTGTCAGGTTGGATGGGGATTGTTGCTGCAGCGCTATTTTCATGACTCTCCAGAGATGTTAGATCTGGTTTAAGTCCGGGCTCTGGCTGGGCCACTCAAGGACATTCAGAGACTTGTCTCGAAGTCACTCCTACATTGTCTTGGCTGTGTGCTTAGGGATGTTGTCCTGTTGGAAGGTGTGAGGTCCTGAGCGCTCTGGAGCAGGTTTTCATCAAGGATCTCTCTGTACTTTGCTCCATTCATCTTTCCCTCGATCCTGACTAGTCTCCCAGTCCCTGCCGCTGATAAACATCCCCACAGCATGATGCTGCCACCAACACGCTTCACCGTAAAGATGGTGCCACGTTTCCTCCAGATGTGACGCTTGGCATTCAGGCAAAAGAGTTTAATCTTGGTTTCATCAGACAGAGAATCTTGTTGCCTTTTGGCAAACTCCAAGCCGTTTGTCATGTGCCTTTTACTGAGGAGTGGCTTCCGTCTGGCCACTCTACCATAAAGGCCTGATTGATGGAGTGCTGCAGAGATGGTTGTCCTCCTGGAAGGTTCTCCCATCTCCACAGAGTAACTCTGGCGCTCTGTCAGAGTGACCATCGGGGTTCTTGGTCACCTCCCTGACCAAGGCCCTTCTCCCCCGATTGCTCAGTTTGGCCAGGCGGCCAGCTCTAGGAAGAGTCTTGGTGGTTCCAAACTTCTTCCATTTAAGAATGATGGAGGCCACTGTGTTCTTGAGAACATTCAATGCTGCAGAACTGTTTTGGTACCCTTCCCCAGATCTGTGCCTCGACACAATCCTGTCTCGGAGCTCTACGGACAATTCCTTCGACCTCATGGCTTGGTTTTTGCTCTGACATGCACTGTCAACTGTGGGACCTTATTTAGAGAGGTGTGTGCCTTTCCAAATAATGTACAATCGATTGAATTTACCACAGGTGGACTCCAATCAAGTTGCAGAAACATCTCAAGGATGATCAATGGAAACATAATTCACCTGAGCTCAATTTCGAGTCTCTTAGGAAAGGGTCTGAATACTTTTGTCAGTAAGGTATTTCTGTTTTTAATTTTGCAAACATTTTGAAAAACCTGTTTTCGCTTTGTCATTATGGGGTATTGTGTGTAGATTGATGAGGAAAACATTGATGTAATCCATTTTAGAACAAGGATGTTTCCCAATGCACTGTACATTCTACGGTACCAACAAAGCTTGCGTATCTCATAAGTCTCCAACATTCGGCATATTTGTTTATTTGTGCGTCACCAACTGGCACCCTATATACATTGTATTGCTGTACTTTTGACCAGGGCCCATAGGGAATACACGGAATAGGGTGCCATTTGGGACCCTCTTGATATGGGTGAGCAAACATGCAAGAATTGTATTTTCCTTGCTGATTTTTGTTTGCTTATTTAATTGTTTTAATGAATAATATGGGCTATTCACATGACAGATGTCCTACAATTTAGCTTTCCTAAATGCATTTAAATTATCCTCCATTGAAATTCACATCCATGTCTGAACGGAACAAAGGAAGGTAGAACAACAGATTATTTAGCGTTCCAAATGGCACCCCATATCCTTTAGAGTGCTTTGCTTTCGACCAATAGGGTGCCATTTGGAAAGCATCAATTGTATAAATATGATGATGTACTCTTCCATTAAGAGAGTATCTTTCTCTCTCTCTCTCTCTCTCTCTCTCTCCTCTCTCTCTCTCTCTCTCTCTCTCTCTCTCTCTCTCTCTCTCTCTCTCTCTCTCTCTCTCTCTCTCCTCTCTCTCTCTCTCTCCTCTCCTCTCCTCCTCTCTCTCTCCTCCATCTCTCTCTCTCTCTCTCTCTCTCTCTCTCTCTCTCTCCCTCTCTCTCTCTCCCTCTCTCCCTCTCTCTCTCGCTCTCGTTCTTATTCTCTCTCTGCTCTACTTTGTATTTCATAATTCCATTTAAATTTCAGTCAATTCATAGAGTTAACCAAATTCCAATTCCAATTCCACATTTTCCTAATTGAAGAGAATTGGGGTTTTAATGTTAGTGTACTCTCTGAATTGACTGGAATTTAAATGGAATGCTGTGTAGTGCATTACTATTGATCCTGTTCAGAAGTAGTGCACTGCATAGGGAATAGGGGGGGCATTTGTGAGGCAGCCCCTGTCTGCTTTCCTTTCCTCCTCTGTTGCCTGGTCACTGTGACGACCATTGACTGACAGTTCCGGGCTGCCTGGGAATTGACTATCCTCTGTGCAAATGAACTTTGACATGAACCTTGTTGAGTGTTTTGTGTCCGACGACCTGGATGGATCCCAATCCCCTCACCCGCTGCCTGAGGAGCTGGGACATCAGATCATGATGGTTGATGGAGAGAGCGTGTCAGTGGAGGTTTAAAAATAGATGGAGTGTGTCGATTGAGGTGTAAAGTGGTGGGAGGGCTAGTGATTAGCACTCCAATGCTAATGGCCTGCCAATTGATACAAGGTGATAATGGTATGTTGTAGCACTCCGATGCTAATGGAATGTCACTAGATACATGTTGATAATGGTATGTTATAATACGCCAATGCTAATGGCCTTCTAATAGAGACATGTTGATAATGGTATGTTATAATACTCCAATGCTAACGGCCTTCTGCTAGATACATGTTGATAATGGTATGTTATAATACTCCAATGCTAATTGCCTTCTGCTAGATACATGTTGATAATGTTATGTTATAATACTATAATAATAATATAATATGCCATTTAGCAGACGCTTTTATCCAAAGCGACTTACAGTCATGCGTGCATACATTTTTGTGTATGGGTGGTCCCGGGGATCGAACCCAGTACCTTGGCGTTACAAGCGCCGTGCTCTACCAGCTGAGCTACATACTCCAATGCTAATGGCCTTCTGCTAGATACATGTTGATAATGGTATGTTGTAGTGATAAAGAGGTGTAGTGCTCAGTCAAGGGGATTGTCAAGGGGCTTGTCAAGGGGATTGTCAAGGGGATTGTGAAATAGATTGTCAAAGGGGCTTGTGAAGGGGCTTGTCAAGGGGCTTGTGAAGGGGATTGTCAAGGGGCTTGTCAAGGGGATTGTCAAGGGGCTTGTCAAGGGGCTTGTGAAGGGGATTGTCAAGGGGATTGTCAAGGGGATTGTCAAGGGGATTGTGTTGTGGTGTGTGTGTGCAGTCATTTATGTGTGTGGATACCTGTGTTTGTGCACTTGCCTGTCTGTATGCTTGTAATGTAACACAGCATACTCAAGAAGCACCGCTTATACTCCGTCAGTGATGCAGAAATACCTTGGCTTTCTGCATCACTGACCGAGAAAGCCAAGGTATTTCTCCATCACTGATGAGAAAGCCAAGGTATTTCTGCATCACTGATGAGAAAGCCAAGGTATTTCTGCATCACTGACCGAGAAAGCCAAGGTATTTCTCCATCACTGATGAGAAAGCCAAGGTATTTCTCCATCACTGATGAGAAAGCCAAGGTATTTTTGCATCACTGATGAGAAAGCCAAGGTATTTCTGCATCACTGATGAGAAAGCCAAGGTATTTCTGCATCACTGATGAGAAAGCCAAGGTATTTCTGCATCACTGATGAGAAAGCCACAGTATTACTGCATCACTTACCAAGAAAGCCACAGTATTTCTGTATCACTGACCGAGAAAGCCAAGGTATTTATCCATCACTGACCGAGAAAGCCAAGGTATTTATCCATTACTGACTGGGAAATCCAAGGTATTTCTCCTTCACTGACCGAGAAAGCCAAGGTATTTCTGCATCACTGACAAAGAAACCCACCTTTTTTCTGCATCACTGACAAGAAAGCCACGTTTTTTCTGCATCTAGTACTTCTAGGTCTCAGGAAGGCAGTAGTGATGCACTAGCCATCCACTGAGGGAAAGTCCATCTGTTTCTGTTTGAAAGTCCATCTGTTTCTGTGGGAAAGTCCATCTGTTGGTTGGCTTCTGTGTGTGAATTTGAGAGCGGTTACATTTCAGCAGCCACATCCATCAGATGTTTACTGAAACAGTAGCGGGGTGTCCACTTTGTTGTTGTTTGAACTGCAAATATCCCCATTTAATGTTACTTGGTACATGTTGCTCATTCTACTTTGCTAACCACATTTTCTCCCTCCCTCCCTCCCTCCCTCCGTCCATCCATCCCCCCCCCCCCCCCCCCCCCCCCCCCAACAGCTCAGAACTGCAGCTTTACTCTCCAGAGCTCCAACGGTACAATAGAGAGCCCAGGCTACCCGTACGGCTACCCCAACTACGCCAACTGTACGTGGGTGATCCTGGCAGAAGAACACAACAGGATACAGCTGGTGTTCCAAGGCTTCGCCCTAGAGGAAGACTTTGACCTGCTGTCTGTCTACGACGGCCCGTCCAGCCCTGGGAACCTTAGGACCAGGTCAGAATTATGAACTCTGGATTATTTGCGATAAAATGGTTGGGCTTAATAGGGACCAGGAGTTTTTCCTTGGCCAGGTGACAGGACTGGGAAAAACTCCTGGATAAAAATTTTTTTCCTGATGCATTGAGTTGGCACTAGTCTTTGCGATGTGAGTAGATTCGACATAGTGATGATTCAACATATCTCCCAGTGAGGTCAGTGTGCAGAGTAGGGCACTGGATATTAAACTGGCCCTCTGCAGTAGCCACTATCAGCAGTCTCCAGTGGCCACTAAGTGCTATACAGCAGTGTGTCAGACTTTAAAGGTAGCCCAGGGTCCATTCTGGGTCAGGTATTAGCCCAGGGTCCATTCTGGGTCAGGTATTAGCCCAGGGTCCATTCTGGGTCAGGTATTAGCCCAGGGTCCATTCTGGGTCAGGTATTAGCCCAGGGTCCATTCTGGGTCAGGTATTAGCCCAGGGTCCATTCTGGGTCAGGTATTAGCCCAGGGTCCATTATGGGTCAGGTATGTTTCAAAGCTATAGGAAATCCATGTATTGGAGTGTCTGTATCAGGGCTGTGGCGGTCATGAAATTTTGTCAGCCGGTGATTGTCAAGCAAATAACTGCCAGTCTCACGGTAATTGACCGTTAATTAACATAAACACATTTTAGCATCTCCTGGCTTACACGCATTGCATACAAGCCACTGATGCAGACCTTTGGAAGATCTACATAAAAAAAAAAAAAATAATACATTAATGTAATATAGCCTACACCTTCACAATAAATCCATTATTTATTTTAGACAGGTCTAAAGAAACATGATATGAAGAAAATGTAGTCTATTTCTGAAGAACAGAATAGCATACTCCGAGTTGTCCTTATGTTAGGTCCTGATGTGGCTATGCCATATGGCTGTGGGCTACACTAGTTCATTTAGCAGATTCCATGGCATTATTTTAAAATTATTTTATTGTATGAAGAATACAATTGAACAAATCTGAATAAAATAGAAAGGATATTTTCTCCAAACGATTTGAGGGAGTGCGCACATGCGGCTAGTCTGTGTTGAGAGGTTAACAAAGAAACAGATACTCCTATGTGCTTCATTTAGAGTTATGTAACTTCAGTTGTGATACAAATGTCGGGCTCAATGTTTTGATTTTTAATACATTGTAAAGCTGCATGATGCGACTCTAATGATGATTTGAAAAAAAGTTGCATGAAAGGCATGAGCTCCGCTTTGTTTTTTTGTGCAGGCTGCACACACTTCATCAGTCTCTCATTCACAATTTGACAAGCACTTGATAATGCCTCGAATTACCTGGCAGTATCCCCTTTGTGTGGCCGTAATGCCCCCTAAAAAAAACCATGCTTTTTGCAGCCAGTGGCCGTTGTGCCCTTGGGCTGAATATAAAAATTACAATTCCCTTCTCCCGGCTGCTTGCCGAAGCACCTCTCACTCATATGACGTGATCTGGTCTTTCTCACAGGCTACAAGTGAAGACAGACACATCTCGAACGCAACTGCGCGCGTCCTTATCCAATTCCGAGGTGCATATTGAAGATATTGGAAGAACTGTCCACATTTACTTTTCGTCAACCAACAAGATGAGTTGGCCTAACAAACAGCAAAAGCACTAACCTATGTCAATCTACTATCCCCCATAGTACAAACGTTGACCTATTCTATTCTGTGTGAGAAATAAATATTCCAAACATAGCCTGGGACAGTTGTGGGATGCGATAGATCCCAAAATAATACAACCACTAGCATTAAAAAAACTGTTTTAAGCAATGAGCCTGACACAACAGATGAGAACGTTTTGCACAGCAAAGCGTACATGGCAGTAGGCTATAACAGCGAATTTTCCATTAACAGGAAAACACCATTCACAAAAGTGACTGCAAATGCGATTATGCATGTAATGCTTTCATTATAAAGGTGCATTGCTATGGTGGAAATGATATCTTCCCCAAACATGAAACTCACACGCTGCGTATGTATGCCAGTCAGGCTCTACACCCGTTGGAAAGAGGATTAATGTGCTTCATTTTAAGAAGTTATTTGGACACTTTAGTTGTGATACAAACCTTATCAAAACATATAGGCCTATGGGCTAGGCTACATGAGGTGTGCAACTATGATTGGAAACAGTCAACCCAAAAAAAAAGGCATGCGCTGTTTCTTGCCTTAAACTGGGCATCGTTCACAAGTCAAAATATATCATTCACAAAGGACAGGCTAATATTGTCACCCATCAGACTATTCTTGATTTAATATTGTCTTTACATTCACTAAATAATATATGTGTGAAATGTGTTTTGATTTAGAGTGGACCATTATCATGCACCTGTCTCGGAACAGGGGCAGGGGGAAAAATACATGTCATCTACTGTATGCACTTAAATAGGGAATGGAGGACGCTTTGTCCGTGGTTCATTTTCATGCCAGCCAGGTAGGCTATACTCCTGTTGTAAAGAGAAGCAATGTGCTTAATACTAGGAAAGTTGAGAAATAAATATAGTAGGCTTAGCCTATCGAAAAGCTGATGGGATCCTCCTCTTTTTAATAGAGGCAGTTACCGTGACTAAACGGTCCCGTGGAATTTGACTGCTGTCATGATTCGTGTCTGCCGGTGTGACGGCAATACAGTCACCATAACAGCTCTAGTGGCCGGTGTTTGTGACGGATAAAGCACCATAAAAGCTTAGTTGTCCGCCGGGTACGGTATACAGTCACCATAACAGCTCTAGTCTGTCCGCCGGTGTGACGGTAATACAGTCACCATAACAGCTCTAGTCTGTCCGCCGGTGTGACGGTAATACAGTCACCATAACAGCTCTAGTCTGTCCGCCGGGGGGTGACGTAATACGTCACCTAACAGCCTAGTTGTCCCCCGGTTTTTTGGACCGGTAAAAACATCCATAAAAGTCTAGTTGTCCCCCGGGTTTGGGGCGGTTTTAAAACAGTCACCCAAAGCTTTCTGTTTGTGATATAAGTACCCAAAAGGGGCCAAAATTGGCCTTTTTTTGTGGGGGACTTATCAACATTTTAAACCCCCTTGTTGTTGGGGGTAGTATCTACAAAATTGATGGACCCCTTATTTTAAAAACCCTCTGTCTGCCCCTTTGGGGGATTTTGAATAGTTTGTAAGTAATTTTATAGAAAGGACACCCAAGATTGGGATTTCCCCCCGTTTTCTAACCCATTGGGGGGCCCCTTTTTTTTTTACCCTTTCTTTGAATGCACACAAAAAGCCTGAACCTTAGAGGTTTTGTTGTAAAGGTTAGAGAGGAGAGTTATTTTTTTTTTAGCGGGCCCAAGGAAAAGGGGGAAAGAAAGGGGGAAACTGAGGGGGGAAAAAATTTGGGGAAAAGGGGGTGGGAAAAACCCTTCTCCGTCTGTCCTCTTCTCTTTCTCTCTCTTCTCGTCCTTTTCTCTCTTCTTCTCCTCAATCTCTCTCTCTCTCAGTTTTCTTTCCCCTCCCCCCTGATTCTTCTTTTTTTTGGGTTTTTTTTTTTTTGTTTTATTGGGTCTTTACTGGGTTAAGGGATTCGCTAAAGGGAAATTTTCTTTCCAAGTTTGGTGACCCTCTTTCCCGGAATTGCCCCCTTTGCCATGTTTTTTGTTTACTATATTCCCTCTCCCTTATTTCTGTTTTTATTCCCTTTTTCCAAGAAAGAGGGTGAATATTACAGAGGAACAGAGAGGAGAGAAAGAGAGGAGAGAAGGGGAAAGAGATACAGAAGGAAAGGAACAGGGGAAAAAAGATACAGAGGGAAAGAGATCAGAGATTGAAACAGAGAGAGTAAAAGGCGAGAGAGAGAACCGAGAGGGGGGAGAGGGGGGAGGAGAGGGGGGAGGGGAGGAAGAGGGAGGGGAGGGGAGGAGAGGGGAGGAGGAGAGGTGGGAGAGGGGTTTGGAAAGGGGGCGAACAATGGGAGGAGGGGGAGGAGAGTGGAGGAGGGGGAGACGAGGGGGAGCCTTAGGGTGTTCAAGTTAATTGTGGATTGTTGAACACCAAAGCTCCCCATAAGAGTAGTGTGTGTCTGTCATATTGTTGTGTGTGTTGGGGGTTTGCATCTCTTTGTCTTTCAAAGGAGACATTTTGTAAAGCAAAAGCCGAGATCTCATGTTGGATTTCAGTCAGTCAGTGAGTGGAGTGCTGCGTTCAGAGAACGTATAAGAAGAGGTCTGCTCCCTCTTATCTTTCTCGTTACTAGAGCGATAGCGAATAGAGAGACAGTAGCGAGCAAGAGAGCAGAAGAGAGAGAGGAGAGAGAGAGAGATCTACGCTGATCGATAGAGAGAAGAGCTCGAGAGAGAGAGCAGGAGACTACTGATCGAGAGAGAGAGCCTATGAGATATCTATCTCACTATCTGATGCTCTTATCTATCTTCTATAGATCTTCTATCGCTCTATATATCTCCTCAGCTCTCTCTCTTCTCTCTCTTCTCCTCTCTCTCTCTCTCTCTCTCTCTCTCTCTCTCTCTCTCTCTCTCTCTTTGATGAGCTGCTCTCTCTCTCTCCCTCCGTCACAGTAGCACACGTCTTTACATTCACTCTGAATCCCTTCCTCCCCCCTCTTCTCTCTCTCGGCTTCCATCTAATCAGTGATCTCTATCTTCTCTCTTACTTCCTGTCCTTTGATTTCTATCACCCCTCCCTCAGTCTTTTCTAGTTTCTAGTTTCTTTCATTCATTCTATCCCATCATGCTCTCTGTCTTTTCTGTGATTGATCAGTCCGCATCCTTCCCATTAAACCTCTAAAAGTCAATTTGCTATTTGATTTGGAATTTTAGGACCCTTTAAGTATCAAAAAATATATATTAAAAAGTGAATTGATAAAGTATTGAATTTGGCTTTTTATACTAATTGAAACAGATTGAATAACACATTCACAGATGGCAAAATAGACAGTCCAAAAATAAATCATAGAAGGTTTGATAAGGTTTTGAAGTGTCTGTCCTATAGAGATGGAGATGTAAGAAGGCTCTGGAAATATTTGTATTTTTTTGGACACGTATTTAACCCCTTATTTTTGTTGGCACAAAACTACCTCCATACTTGCATTAGTTTATATGGGTTACCTTCAGACGGGTCCCGTGACAACTTGTCGGGGGCCGTAGAGTATAACGGCGAACACCATCGTGTTTGTTAGAGTCCACCCTTCCCATTGAGTGGCCAAAGCGTTTCAACGCTACAGAAGTTTTCATGAGAAGACCGATTTTTGGGACGTCTCATGGTCTGCCATAGACCGGTCTAGCTCTGCCACATGCGTAAGGCTGACATAGGCTGACATAGGCTGACATAGGCTGACATAGGCTGACATAGACTGACATAGGCTGACATAGGCTGACATAGGCTGACATAGGATGACATAGGCGGATGCGGTGGATTGAGACGTTATCTCTAGTTTATGCAGACAGATTTTGATTGGGATTCTTTTTTTTAATGTTACTTACAGTAGATAGACTCTTAATTAATGATCAACGAACACTCAATCTCTAGTCATCTCATACAATAATCTTTAGTTATCTCAGTCACGACAAGAGAGTATAACTACCTGCCTGAATAGAAAATCAAAATAAAGCCCATTTCATATAAGGAATTATTTATAATTATAATCCCAAACCAAGTCTCACTAGTACCAACAATTATAATACTAGAATAGACAGAGACACACAGAGACACACAGAGAGACAGAGAGACACACAGAGAGACAGAGAGACAGACACACAGAGACACACAGAGACACACATAGAGACAGAGAGACACACAGAGAGACAGAGAGACAGAGACACACAGAGACAAACAGAGACACCCAGAGACACACAGAGAGACAGAGAGACAGAGACATACAGAGACACACAGAGACAAAGAGAGAGACAGAGACACACAGAGACACACAGAGACACACAGAGAGACAGAGACATACAGAGAGACAGAGACACACAGAGACACACAGAGACACACAGAGAGACAGAGAGACAGAGACACACAGAGACACACAGAGAGACAGAGACACACAGAGACAAAGAGACACACAGAGACACAGAGAGAGAGACAGAGACACACAGAGACACACAAAGACGCACAGAGAGACAGAGACACACAGAGAGACAGAGACACACAGAGAGACAGACACACAGAGACACAGAGACACAGAGACATACAGACACACAGAGACACACAAAGAGACACAGAGACACAGAGAGAGACAGAGACACACAGAGAGACAGAGACACACAGGGACACATAGATATACAGAGAGACAGAGACAAACAGAGAGACAGACAGAGACACACATAGAGACAGACAGAGACACATAGAGACACAGAGACATACAGAGACACACAGAGACACAGCGAGAGACAGAGTCATACAGAGAGACAGAGACATACAGAGAGACAGAGACATACAGAGAGACAGAGAGACAGAGACACACAGAGACTCACAGAGTCACAGAGAGACATAGACATGCAGAGAGACAGAGACACACAGAGAGAGACACACACAGAGAGAGAGACACACAGAGACACAGAGAGAGAGAGACACACACAGAGAGAGAGACATAGATATACAGAGAGACAGAGAGACAGAGACTCACAGAGACACCGAGAGACAGAGACTCAGCGAGACATACAGAGAGACAGAGACTCAGAGACACACAGAGACATACAGAGAGACAGAGACATACAGAGAGACAGAGACACAAAGAGACACAGAGAGAGACAGAGACATACAGAGAGACAGAGACATACAGAGAGACAGAGACTCAGAGAGACACAGAGAGACAGAGACTCAGAGAGACACTGAGAGAGAACACTTAGCTAGATGGCTAACTCTACATATGATATTGTTGCTAGATAGCGCCGGAGGGGATGGATGCCATTTTATGGGCTCTTAACCAACCATGCTTTTTTGAATTGTTTGAACTTATTTTTTACATGATGTTGCTGCTACTATCTCTTATGACCGAAAAGAGCTTCTGGACATCACATCAGAACAACGATTACTCACCTTGAACTGGATGAATAATTTTTTTTTAATGAGTCGGAGGAGGGGGATTTGCTACAGACACCCGATAGGGCCCTCATCCCCGTCATTCGCAGTAGAAAGAAAAGGAGATATCGCGGAAGGAGATCGGGGTGCTTGGTAAGGAGCCGGCGACGAGTGGCTAATCTGCATTTGCCATCGATACTATTGGCCAACTTACAATCCATTGATAATAAAGTGGATGAACTACGACCACGTATATCCTACCAAAGGAAGACATGAATAACATACAGCTGGCGGGTTATACACTGTATCGGCAGGATAGAACAGCAGCCTCTGGTAAGACAAGGGGTGGCGGTCTGTGTATATTTGTAAACAACAGCTGGTGCACGATATCTAAGGAAGTCTCGAGGTTTTGCTCGCCTGGGGTAGACTATCTCATGATAAGCTGTAGACCACACTATATACCAAGAAAGTTAATCTATACTCTTCATAGCGGTCTATTTACCCCCACAAACCGATCCTGGCACTAAGACCACACTCAATTAACTGTATACGGCCATAAGCAAACAGGAAAATGCTCATCCAGAGGCGGCGCTCCTAGTGGCCGGGGACTTTAATGCAGGGAAACTTAAATCTGTTTTACCTCATTTCTACGAGCATGTTAAATGTGCAACCAGAGGGAAAAAAAACTCTAGACCACCTTTACTCCACACACAGAGACGCATACAAAGCTCTCCCTCGCCCTCCATTTGGCAAATCTGACCATAACCCTATCCTCCTGATTCCTGCTTACAAGCAAAAGGTAAAGCAGGAAGCACCAGTGATTCGGTCAATAAAAAAGTGGTCAGATGAAGCAGATGCTAAGCTACAGGACTGTTTTGCTAGCACAGACTGGAACATGTTCCGGGATTCTTCCGATGGCATTGAGGAGTACACCACATCAGTCTCTGGCTTCATATATAAGTGCATCGATGACCTCGTCCCGACAGTGACTGTTCGCACATACCCCAACCAGAAGCCATGGATTACAGGCAACATCCACACTGAGCTAAAGGGTAAAGCTGCCGTCTTGCAAAAGTAATCATCCCCCTTGCGTTTTTTCCTATTTTGTTGCATTACAACCTGTAATTTAAATATATATGTTTTATTTGGATAAAATGTAATGGACTTACACAAAATTGTCCAAATTGGTGAAGTGAAAGGCCCCAGAGTCTGCAACACCACTAGGCAAGGGGCACCACCATGCAAGCGGTACCATGAAGACCAAGGAGCTCTCCAAACAGGTCAGGGACAAAGTTGTGGAGAAGTACAGATCAGGGTTGGGTTATAAAAAAATATCCGAAACTTTGAACATCCCACGAAGCACCATTAAATCCATTATACAAAAATGGAAAGAATATGGCACCACAACAAACCTGCCAAGAGAGGGCCGCCCACCAGGAGCTGCAAAGGAGCTGCAAAGCCCCACAGAGGAGATTGGAGTATCTGTCCATAGAACCACTTTAAGCCGTACACTCCACAGAGCTGGGTTTTATGGAAGAGTGGCCAGAAAAAAGCCATTGCTTGAATAAAAAAATAAGCAAATACGTTATAAAGGGAATTTCTTGAGGGAAACCTGTTTCAGTCTTCCAGAGATTTGAGACTGGGACGGAGGTTCACCTTCCAGCAGGACAATGACCCTAAGCATACTGCTAAAGCAGCACTCGAGTGGTTTAAGGGGAAACATTTAAATGTCTTGATGGAGCTAGATGTGCCAAGCTTAGAGACATACCCCAAGAGACTTGTAGCTGTAATTGCCGCAAAAGGTGGCTCTACAAAGTATTGACTTTGGGGGGGTGAACTTGAGCACGCTCAAGTTCAGTTTTTTGGTCATATTTCTTGTTTGTTTCACAATAAAAAATATGTTGCATCTTCAAAGTGGTAGGCATGTTGTGTAAATCAACTGATACAACCCCCCCCCCCCCCCCAAAATCTATCTTAATTCCAGGTTGTAAAGCAAC